AGGACACTGGATTCTGAACTTGTATTTTAACAACGTATCTTAGGGATCATTCATATTCCTTCTGTCCCTCCTTCCCTCCCTCCCTACGTTCCTCCCTCTCTCCTTCCCTCCTTTTCTCCTCCCTCCCTCTCCCTCTCTCCATCCCACTCTGCCTCTGTAACACCTTCCCTCCCTCCATCTCTGAATGATCATTGTTGGTAATTCTTCTGTCTTTTGGCTAGAGTCTGTCACTCATGTGGACCCAGTTTGGGTTGGTGTCTCGTTCTGAAACCTTCAAGTATATCAAGAGGACTGAGATGTCTCGAGGGTGGACAGCCACATTGTCTTGCAAGGTGCAATAAGCTGGTAATCGGTACTGCCAGGACCTTAACACACAGCTCCCTGACTTAAAGACATGCTCTTGATGCTACCAAGAAGGCTTGGGGCAGTCCAAGATTTATTCAGTTCTTTACCCACAAAGGTAGCCTCCATATTTTGTAAAGTCTAAGGGGACAAAAGCATACAGACAGCCTGAAATTCATATGCCATCCTATTCAACTTCAGACTTTTGCAGGCCAAAGATTTTGGCAAAGTAACTGTGGTTAATATTTACTTGAAAGGTATTTGGGAAAGAAAAAGTCATGTTATTTAGACTTTGTGTGTGTGCAAAGAATCAAGTAGCCTTCAACTGCTGCCAGCAGCAAAAAATCTACTTCCTGAGTTAATGTTCTTAATCAAGACAAACCCAACACTAGATATCAAGAATTTGCACAACATTTTACTTTGACCCTGAAGCCAAAGCTTGTCAGAGAGTGGCTGTGATCTTTCTTTCCCAAGGTTAGAATGTATCACCAGCTTGGATCCTAATTTGATGTACACATGAAGAGAGTCTTGGCAATATTTATCCAGACCTTGCTGTTCAAGGTCTTAGAAATAATCTCATAGTTGCTAAATAGCAGAGGTCGTCAGGGATCCACTGCAGTGTTCTGGGCCCAGGTAAAAAAACTGACGTGTGTAGCACATGTGGACTGGATTCTGTAATCATGCAGCAAAGCTTTATGTACACCGTTTTCCTGAAGGTCAAGCAGAAACAGAAGCACAATAGGATACGGGTACTATACTGCAGACGACCCCAGGGACTTAGTAATACAGAATCAGAACACTGTAAATACAGACATAGTAACTTAACAATAAATGGTGATTTTTTTTCATAGCACAGTGCTATTTCTGTTGACTGTCATATTATATCCCCGATCACAGATAAAGTTTAACAGGAGGCTGTTTGGCTGTTTTACTCAGCGACTCAGTTCCTGGGCGAATGGTGTGCTGTGCAGAAAGGCCTTGCCTGGGTCTGCATTTTACAGTGTTTTCCCATGGGTTCTTCCAATATTTTCAAAGTCTTCAGGGTCTTATTAAGAACTTCGACCCATCTAGAATTGAGTTTTGTATAAGAAAAAAGATAGGGACTATGCTTTGATTCTGCATATAGTCATATGTTTCTCCAAGAAACATTTCTTGGAGGCTGGCCTTTCATTTTGTTTTGTTTTTCAGTGTTTTCAGTGCCTTTGTTGAAATTCAGTTCATTGTAACCAAGCCACTGTAAAAATCACACAGATCTCTCCTCAATGGAAGTAATAGTTCATTCTGGAGCCAAGTATTAGTACTAGCATAGCCTGGGAGTACAGATATAGGTTACCCAAAATGTTATGTCCCAACATAGTAGAACTTTTGTGAAGTTGTTATGGAAACAGAACAAAGTGTGAATAAATTCAGATACTTTGCAAAAACATTGGTCGGGGTTGGTCAATCAGATGGGCTAAAACGGAGTGGAGGAATGTTTAGGCCTCAGGTGTGAGCTTATCAAGTTCTAAGGTTTTGGGTTGATGGAGGAGAGGGTCTCATTGAACTTTCCAAAGGGATTTACCTACTAGTCACGAAGATGATGCAGATTCCGGTGGGCAACAGAAGGACGTTTAAAGGGCTAAGATAGCCCAGGATACTTTGCCTCTGGACCTGATGTGTTCCAGCCTCTCCATAATCACTAAAATCAGAATCAGTTGACTAGCTTCTGTAGAATACTCAGCATAGGCAGGGTTTCTTTGGAGGAATTACGGTTCCCACCCGTGTAGTTTGATTTACAGTCTTGTTTTCTATTCTTCTGGTCTAGGGGTCTCTTTTGTGCTACCACCATGTTGTTTTGTTACTAAGGCTCTGGGGCCTGCGTGCAAACAACGCGCAGCTGTGCCTTGGGCATTCTCCTCACCCAGGACTCTGATAATTCAGGATGGTTTGTACTTGCTCATTAGTTTTAGACAGTTTTCCAGTTCTGTGAAGAATGCCATAGAATCTCGATGGGTTTGCAGGTGAGTTGAAGACTGCGCACAGCTGTTTTAATTTGTTCCAAATCATTGAAATTTCTGGTTATGATTTCGTATTTTTTCCTCTTTCTAGTTGCCTGACTGTGCTGACGTCATCCCCACTGCTTGCTCTGTGGAAGCTCTCAACTGATGTTTTAAAATGTACACACAAATAGGGGAGAGGACCACTCTGGAGAGAGCCACTCTCCTCCTACTGTGATAGTCCCAGGCTTTCACAAAAGCATCTTCGCCCGCTGTGCCATCTCACTGAGTGTCTAAAATTGGATTCACTGATCATTTAATTTACAAGGTTTTTGGTTGTTTCTTTTTTTAGAATCTCTAGCTCTTTATCAAATTCTTCCATTCCTTAATTCCTTAATTGTATTCCATAATTTATCCACCTGCTTATTTGTACAATTCCTGAAATCATTGGTTCCTTTTTCAATTGTCTCTTTGAATATTTTCTAAAATAGTATTTCTATTGGGAATTTATATAATGCACCCAAATCACATCATTCACATTCCTCCCTGGTCTGCCCTCCCACCCCTGTGTTAGCCTTCAAAAAACAAAACAAAACAAACACCAAGTCAAATTTGTGTTCCTTATATATACAAGCAAGCTCCCAGTGGCCTACCTGGTAAAGACAACTGAGTTTTCTCCCTTTCCTTCCCCCCAACCCCAAGCTCTCCCTGAAGCCATCAACTGTGAAGAGCTTCTCTTTAGTGTTGTGTGATACTTGACTATATTCTGACAAATAAAGCCTGCTTGGAGTCAGAGGTTGGAGCCAGACACTAGTTGGCCTAAATTAATCATAGATGCTTGGAGGACTGTAGACAGAGAGGAGACAGGAAGTATTAAGGCGGGGCAGAGATAGTCTTAGGTTTTTTTGGACAGAGGAAAGGAAGAAGTAGGAGGCAACTGCTGCCCGTTCCCTGCTTCTCTGATCTTTCATGTTCTTTCTGATATCTGACTCTGACCTTTATTGACAAAGATGAATTAGATTAACATGTCATCTACATCCAACCTTTGGGGCGTGATTTCCCAAGATGGTTGCTTGCCTGTGGCTTTGCAGCCACCACCATCCACTGGAGCTGCATCACCTGAATTTTCCTTTTTTCCCCTGAACCCCCTGAGTGACTTTGGTATTCTCTGTATCAGCCCTTCTGCAGTAGTCTCCACAAACCCCAAACACCATAGCGCCTGGGCTCTGAATACCCTGGAGTTGTTCCCTCTGCCTTCAGTACCATCTGCGCTCATGCTCCCAGCCCTCCACACTGCTGCTGTTGCCCATTTCCCTGTATCTGCCTTTCAGGTGGTCTCCTTCTCGCTGTGGATTGTGCACTTCCCCCAGGCCCTCTCCTCAGGCTGCAGCCACACTAGGGGAGCCCCCTGGACACCTGCTCAGGCAACTGTCACATAGTCCCAGCTCACAGCTATGCATCATCTGTAGCGCCTGTCCTCAGCCAGGCCATGCATTGCCTGTGTTCTCATTCCTGACCCTGCTACACGATGACAGCAGCCTTACACTTCAGTGTCGTCGTCAGCAGACTTGGTGAGAAAACTCGGAATTCTCAAAGGGGGTAGTTAGCCAGAGAGAGAGAGAGAGAGAGAGNAGAGAGAGACATTTTTTCTAAAGTTAAAAAATGGGAAACAATATTATGATAAAGGGAGTTAGATCTCTGGATGATTCTACAGTGGATGGTTTGAAAATCAAACAATGAAACGATAGGGTAATTACTTGGGAGTCACATGACGTCTATTATAATCATTATTATTATTATTTATTTATTTATTTTTTGGTTTTTCGAGACAGGGTTTCTCTGTGGCTTTGGAACCTGTCCTGGAACTAGCTCTAATAATCATTATTGGTTTGATAATTCTTGTTTTATTTCTAAAGGCATTGATAACAGTGCCAACTGTGAGAAACTGACTGATAAGTACAGGCCTTCAAAGAACTCACTGAAACAGATAATAGAGATATGCAGATCCTCACAGAGGAGTTTAAAGGAGAACAAACCAATTATACTATGAGATTAGAGAGCAGATTGCAAGGTTGTCAAATAACCAGCCTTAATTTATTCAGTCACCCTCATGAACAACCACCAAATGACAGGTATCCCCAAGGCTATGGAAGAGCTCACTAAACACTTGTGGAAATATCAGTTCCTTAAATCTCCTCAAATCTAATATATCCAGAGGAATCCAGTGAGTTCTTCCATATCCTAAGGAAGTGATATTCTCATTTGATACGCATTCACCTTTTGTGAGGCAGATGTTAAATTTATGGGCAATTATTAATAGAATTATCCGACACGACAGAGAAAGACTTGGTTACAGCAGTATTGGAACCTGAAACTCAGTTACAGAGGAGGACCCAGTGAAAAGATGACGCTAGGACCATTGAACAATGGAGTAGGTTTAGAGGTATTGATTTCTCAAGTCCATCTTCTGGGAGAGGCATATTATGTTGATGTATGAAGACAATCTGTGAATTCCAGAGAGAAAAGAATACCAGATGTCACAAGAGACATTGTCCCCAGTAGGAAAGATGACATAACTTAGTCAGATCAGAAGGTAGGCTGGGCACCCTGCAGCTCCCCATCTGAGGTGTGGTTGCTCTCACTTGGGGTTGAAAACAGAATCATAGAAAATTCAGTTTCTCACAAAGCTTACATGAGTACTTTATTGGCAGTGTCTCTAAGGAAGAACATTAGCGCTGTATGTGGCTGGTGTCGTGATTCAGTGGGGTGCAGGGGTCAGGAGTAGGAAGGCATCAGTATGGTCTCAGAACGTCAGGACAGTCCGGATACTGAAATAACAGATATAAGATGTTGGTTCACATTCCCAGAACTCACAGTGCCCAGAGGATAAATAAAGCATGTGTTATGAGTCTCAGTGAAAACCATCCGTAACAGACATTTCATGCTGGCTATTTGCCATACACTTTGTAGAAGCGTTTTAGGCATTGTCTCATTTAAACTTCATCCTAAGCAGCAGCACTATGAGGTCAATTATCATATTTTCTCCATTTTAAAGACTGTGAAAACTGAGGCTTAGCCTTATAAAATGCCCTGGGTCGTACATGTGCGTGCAGAGCCTGAACGGTCACAGAAGTTTCATTTTTGCTCCTATCCCATTTCTCCTTCATTTCTGTTGGTCATTTCTTCTACCGTAAAAATAATCTCTTTTCCCCACCCACCCCATACAAAGAATCCTAAAGCTCACCTCTTTCCAGAGCGAAGCAACTCAAACGCCTCATTGATTTTCTCAAAAGGTAAAACATGGGTGATTAACGGCTCCAATGGAAACTTTTTAGCCATGAAATCAGCCACAAGCTTGGGGACAGAATCTTTACTCTTAAAGCCTGAAAGGAGAAAGCAGAACCGTGAGATGCAGCCAGGGGGCAGGCAGGAGAATTAGACAAGAGATCTTCCAAAGAAACCAAGTTCCTAACAGTGCCCAGGCTGCCCCCTGAGCGGCAGACGTTGGACTCAAACACCTCTGCGTGGCGTTAATGTCTTATGACATGCCACCTGATGAACAGGGTTCGTGGCTGATGATGGCGGCTTAGTAGATCTTTCCTAGAGAAATCAGTGCAGATGTTTATAGCCAAAGGAAGGGAGTGTAGGCAAACATTACTGCCTTGGGCTCTCTCCAACCTTTAAGGCATTTTTGGGCCTTACAGAGATCCAAGTAGAAGGAGCCAGGAAAGCCCTGGCTCGTTTATGGGGAGCACAGCAGCCTGTCTTACGAATTCCGGTATCAGTTCTTGCTATAGAGAGATCATGGTTTTCATGCTGCCTTCTCAGAACTTTTCTGTTTCAAAAAGGAAGAAATTCTGAAAAAAAGTTAGGAATTAGATCCTCAAAGCTTGGGAGATGGCTAAGGTAATTAAATTCTTTTAGTTTTTTCCTGACATTAGATTTTTATTGATTATCTGCTGTGTTGATCTCCAGAATAAAAAACAAAACAAATAAACAAACCCGGTAACATTTAACAGTGGTTTCAGTGCTGGGGGAGCCTGTAACTCCAGGTCTGTAGAGAGGAAATTCGGACATTCCTGGGATTGGCTGGCTAGGAATTCTAGCCTGACCATGACTGTAGGCTACTGAGACCCCCAGAATCAATGAACAAGGCTGATTGTTCCTGTAGCTACATCAAATGATCTCTGATTCCACACACACCCGTACGTTCACCTTGACACACAAGAACACATACAGAACTTGATCCTCAGCTATGAATACATACCACCAAATATTGCTCCTTTCCACGTGCGTCCTAGCAACAGCAAGAAGGGATTCACAGAGAGGCTTTCAGAATGAGGAGGCACCCCAACAATAACACTTACACCACATGCTGCATGGCTACTTAACAGGGAAGACATCTGGAATATAAATAATATTTAAAGTGGGTATTCTTGAGGATTCTACTCACGATACAGTTTCATGTCATATGAAGATATGTACAGAGAAATATTTTGAGAGAAAAAGTGATTGAATGAATTTATGTTCAAGTCTTCCTTATCAACTAATAAAGCATCTAGTCCCATTGGGAGCCTGTGCAGTCTGGGTCCTCCAAGGAGAACACTGTTTCCTCATCACGTGACTCTCAGGCTGCCTATGTGTAGATTCACTCACTGTCATTGTCCATTAACTACAGTTTTGAAGTTTGCACTCTAAGACAATTTAGATGGTGAAGATGTAATGACGACAGCATCAGAAGTTGTCTCTTATCTATTTGTCCACCTCCCTTTTTAACACGTCCCTCCTGTGGGGCTCAGATCAAGAACGGGCAAGTTTTCAGTGGCTGTGAATCCAGTGTGTGCATTGCTTTTACATTATTCCGTTATCCAGGAACTTTTCACTTTCAATTCTTTTATTTAAAATTCTGTAGTAAAAGATGGTATTTAATCCTCAAATATGCATGTTGCCTGGCATTTTGATTTTGAAACATGACATTTAGAAAACCAGATGTCCTCAGAACACGTGGGTATCAGACATTTAGATCTTCAGATCCACTGTCAACCTAGGCTCAGATGAGCAAACAGGGAGACTGTCTAGGAAATCACATAGGAGGATGACCATGGGAAAGCCAGAACCCTGAGAGTTGAAGGCTCCCCACCCACAGAGGAGACGCTAGCTTCTCTTGACATCTTGTCTCAGTTCGAGGCTGAGAAGAATGTCGATCTCAGGGCACCATTCCCATTCTCTATTTCCAACTCTGCCAAGGCTTTTTGGAGGACCTCAGTAATGGTGATTCTTTAGGTCTCTGGGGATGCTTCTCTAGAACGCCAGAGGTCTTAGGGTGGCTGATATGTACTGGAGAAGTTACATACTTAGTAATGTATGGTGTTTGCAACTATATAGATAATATTCATTTCAAAAGTTTAAGCACTGTAAGCTTGGCAAGAGCCTTTCTTATCATTATCGCCAGCTGACTTAATTGAGCGCTTACCCCATGGCAGCTGGCTCCGTGGTAAGTATTTTACATGCACTATGTCATGTAGATCATAAATAACCCTACAAAAATGTGCATCTCTTTTCTTTTCTGTTTTTTGTTTTTGTTTTTTTGGTTATTGGAAGAGAAGATAGAAGTGGCAGAGTCCGGTAGATTCAAGTCCCTGGGTGCGAGAGTGGTGGGAGGGAGAAGAGACAGAGAACCAATATTTGTATCTCCTAAATTTACGGGCAACGACAGAATCCATGAATTTTATTTTGAAAAGTATTTACTCCAACATGTAGATCTGGGTGTTTTTGTTGCCTGGTACAGTGCCGTCTCTGAGATGAAAACATGGTGATCCATTAAAGCAGCCACTCCTGTACATGTTTGATGCTAATGAAATAATACTTGGCTTCATATTACTCATTATTCCTTTTGGCCACATGATGAGACTTGAAAATGTTTTTCATAATAGTTAATTTCACATATTATATAATATTAAGAATGTGGAAAAAATATTCATCCATTAGGTCCATAAATTGTTTTTAAATTCCCTTGATGAATTGATTTTTAGGGAAAAAAAACTCAATGAAAAGCTTTCCTGTATTAATGGAGGATTATTACTTCAGACAAATTTGTAGAACTTACAAGTCGAAAGGTGTGTCAGAATTAATCAATATGAGTAGAAACAGGAGATGGAAAATTACCATCTAAAATAGCTTTCTGCATGAGATTTCTTTATTGCTGTCTGGAGCACATTATGGATGGCAGAAGGACAGATCTCAAGACATGCCACAGAACCTACCATGGTGTCAATGCGACCAATTACTTCAAAGGAGAAGTCCACCCCTCCATCGGTCATTTCCTGGATTACTTCGTGGAT